AAAAAAAAAAAAAAAAAAAAAAAAAAAAAAAAAAAAAAAAAAAAAAAAAAAAAAAAAAAAAAAAAAAAAAAAAAAAAAAAAAAAAAAAAAAAAAAAAATATATATATATATATATATATATATATAAAATTAACTAAATTCAGAGAATAAAAGAAAATATACTAAATATATTCAAAAATATTATATAACCAAATCTGGAAAATAAGAAGAAATATAAAAAAAAATAATAAATAATAAATTCTTTTATTAAAATATATTATTAATTAAATTCTGAAAACAAGAGAAAATATACCAAAATACTAATCAAATTCTAACAATAAGAAAAAATATAAAAATATATTAACAATAAAATTCTGAAACAAAAAGAAAATATATTAAATATAATAAATCAAATTCAAAAAATAAGTTAAAATATACGAAATATATTATAAACCAAGATACAAGACTATTAACTCCTAAAAAAATATACAAAATATATTGTTAATTAAATTTTGTCGGTAATAACTGATTCTTAAAAATAAATATACAAAATATACTACTAATTAAATCTAAAACTTACATTTACAAAGCAATCGTGAAAATAGAGGTATAAAATTAAAAGCATTTGAACGCATGCATATACGTTTGAAATTTAATTAAAATAATAATAAAATATTAATTTTATCGACCAAAATACAATAATACAATTTCAAACTATTTAAAATAGAGGGTTTAAAGAACAAGTACGAAGGGAAGTCTAGACTCAAATGTGACCGGAATCCCTATAGCCAATAACCCACATGTGTCTCCACCTGGACCGCTACATCAAGCTCCACCTGAAAAGAAAACTGGAGTAACAGGGTTGAGTATATAAAATATACTGAGTAAGCAGCTTACTGGTAGTTCATAGTTCGTTCTTTAAGTCTTATAAAATGAATTTTGTTCATTTACAGTCTTGCGCTGTTTTAGAAGTTCGTTCCTACGAGTAAGTTGTTTATAGGTTACACTCTAGGTTAGTTTGTTCCACCTAAGCTCAACTTAAGATATTTTCGTGGATGTTAGTTCAATTTCTTAGTTCCTCCACCTATATCGACCTCCGACCCTTAGAATTTTGTTAACTTCTCTAGGCCTCATGATCAGTTGTTTCTACTAGTCTCTTCCATCATCATCATAGTTCCCACCTTAAATTGTAGGCGTTCGAGACGCGACCTCAATATCAGTCTCAGGGGATTCATGTATTCTAAGATTTGGCCATCTCTCAAGGGTACTACTGCAAACCCCTATCGCTCGTGACAGGTTCACTAAGAAGAAACTAACTAACAATCCCCTGTATAACCGCTAAAATCATATACATATACAATAGAGACATAATGTAGTGACATAACACATGGATACCTAGTCACTGTTTCAGTTTCGCTCGAATTGGAGCTCAACTCATATCTTCTTCAAAAAATGTGCACCATAACGTTCAACGTACTCTTACATATAACAAATCAACTAAGTGAGCCAACCAATTTGGAAAGTTCATAAGCCATTGTGCGATACTCACTCTCACCATTGAGTGAGTCAACCAATTCGAAATCGTGTAGTCGTTGGGCAGATGACGTATACCCAAGCCTTTAGTCTCGCTTTGAGAAAGAAATTTTAGAAAACGAAGCAGAGAGATTTTTTGAAACATAGTTTGAAGGCAATGTTGAAAGTAATGATATAAACTAGTAAGTAAGAAACATAACACAACGACTTAGATAACATATAACTAAGAACTGACGACTAGTTAGTACTGAGGCATTTCAAGCCTACCAGGTGTAGACATGATTTTGGGGAAACGTCGTACTGCTGCTTTGAATTTTTTAAATTTTTTTATAAAGTTTAATTTGCCTATTAAATAATTCAATAAATAAAATCCAATTAAACTTGTATAAATTAATAAAAAGAATTCAATAAAACTTAATTAAAAAAGAAAAGAAAAAAAGAGAATTAAAAAGTAGAAGGAATTAATTGAATAATAATTTTCAAAGAATTTTCACATCCTTGCGCTGATTATGAATTTTATTTATCAGAAAAAAGGAAGGAAAGGGAAATAACTCGGGAAATTGGAACAGCTTGCCGCAGATCGTCCTCGACTCATGGTTGAGCGTCGTCGGCATCTAGAGGATTCAAGTTTCTGGCTCGACGATGTGTCGAATTGATTCATGTAGATCTACCGTTCTAGCCAGTTGATTCTTCTGGTGGAAATCGCGAGATCTCCATCAATTTCTTATGCTCACCTTGTTTGATCGTGAACAACCTAGCTAGCGGAAGGAAGAATTGTTGATACTAGTGATTTACAGAGCGTTATCGGATTCAAACCAATGGCGGGGGCGGCCTCCGCGCTGTTCCTATTAGATATCAAAGGGCGTGTTCTCATTTGGCGCGACTATCGTGGCGATGTCTCGGCAGTTCAGGCCGAGCGCTTCTTCACCAAACTCATCGAGAAGGAGGTTTTGGATCTTTGTTTAATTTAACCAGTCCCTCTTAGAATCAAAGTCTTATTTACATTTTAGGTTGAGTGATTTAGTTTTTGTTTACTAGTTAATTGATGATAAATGCGACTGAATCAGAGAGAATTGGAGGTGCTCGTTTCGGATTTGTTTCTCTAATGTCATTAGACAGAAGATTCAAATAAGGAAATGGGGAAATACAACGATTTGAATCACTACGGGACAGTTTGTTTAAAATCTGAATTGCATTAGCTTGTCAAGAATCTTGCTATATGATTTCTTATAGTTAGTTCTTTTGATGTTAGGGTGATCCACAATCTCAAGATCCAGTAGTTTACGACAATGGCATAAGCTACATGTTTATTCAGCACAATAACGTGTACCTGATGGTTGCTGCCAGGCAGAATTGCAATGCTGCAAGTCTTCTTTCCTTCTTGCACCGAGTAGTTGATGTGAGTTGTATATATTATTGTAGCGATCTCCAAGAAATTATTTAGGTATTTCAAGCATGTTTAATTCACACGCTATCTTTGTTCCTGAAGTTTCATGGGTCACTAATAGTTCGGAATAGGATTCCTTAAAACTCAAGGCTACTTGTGATCCTTTTTTATTTCTATCAACAGCAGGAGGAATTTTTTTGTTCAATTAGTTTATTTTTCTGGGTTGGTGACTGTGGCAACTGAATTCCAACTTCGTTCCTTATAAAATATATATATGTATGTATGTATGTATATATATAAAGTTCAATTTTGGGGCTTCAGAGAAAATATGTATCATGATGAAAAAGAAAAGTAACAAATGGTTTGACATGGATCGCTATGCTACAGGTCTTCAAGCATTATTTTGAAGAGCTGGAAGAAGAATCACTTAGGGACAACTTTGTTGTGGTGGTAAGATGTGCCTATCACAGATTGAACCATTATAAATTTCTTACATTGTTTACCATAGCATGCTTTGTGATTTATTTCAGGTGGTTAATGATAATATTGATACTTATATTTCTTTGTAGTATGAGTTGCTTGATGAAATCATGGACTTTGGTTATCCTCAATACACTGAGGCAAAGATTCTTAGTGAGTTTATAAAGACTGATGCTTATAGAATGGAGGTTGCTCAGAGGCCACCCATGGCAGTAACAAATGCAGTTTCTTGGCGGAGCGAAGGAATAAATTACAAGAAGAATGAAGTATGTGCTATTTAAACTAATAAGCTGCATATGTTCATTTGTGATTCTTAAAGCTTAATAGGTAATGTCCTGTTCTTATTTTCCAGGTCTTTTTGGATGTGGTGGAGAGTGTTAATATACTTGTCAACAGTAATGGACAAATAATTAGGTCAGACGTTGTTGGGGCATTGAAGATGAGAACTTACTTAAGGTCTGCTCACTGTGCTTCGAGAAATTTACATATTGACATGGACTATGCTTGTACTTGCCTCACTTGTATATTGCATGCAAAATCCTTAACTTTTCCTGTAGTCAAGAAGATTTTTGTAGTCATGGAGACATATAGTTAATTGGTTTACACTCTTTTTTTACTTCGAAAACTCTGAACTGGGAAAGGAACTACTTAGAAAGTATGATTTATTTAGTTGTAGTAAGCTTAGAAGAAGTGTTAACTTAATGTTCAAAGATCCAAACCCTCAAAAGGATGATATTATATGAACCAGTCTCTTTTTATTATTTGAATAAAAAGTTTCTTTTCTCGTTCAAAAAGAAGAAGTGTTAACTTTGAAACACATGAAGATTGTCTGTGGTGTTACCCAAATCTTCATTTCTTTGCTTTCCAGTCTCTCCTTTCAGTGATTTGTTATAATATCCTTTTTCATTCGATTTGTATCTTAGTTAATTGATAAGCAGAATTCAAGATTTGGTTTGTTTGTTGTTAGTGGCATGCCTGAGTGTAAGCTTGGGCTCAACGACAGAGTATTATTGGAAGCACAAGGTCGAACCACAAAAGGAAAAGCTATAGATTTGGAAGACATCAAATTTCACCAGTATGTATCAACCATTTGGTGTTTTTATTTTCTTGAACTAGTAATGTATGTGTATTGAGTTCAGACACTAATGTCATAATGTATGACTTTCAAGTGTTGCCCAAGTTTCTAACTAAATGTTCAACTTTTTGTGTTGTCTTTAGTTCTTAACTAAATGCGTATTTTTTGTTTAGGTGCGTACGCTTGGCTCGCTTTGAAAATGACCGAACCATATCCTTCATACCGCCAGATGGAGCTTTTGATCTCATGACTTATAGACTCAGCACTCAGGTTGGGTATATCCATGTGAATTCTTTTTTCTAGTCGTAGCTGGTCATTTCTACTATTTCGTCATATGATGTGTTTCATCCTTCTGTTGTCAGGTAAAACCTCTTATTTGGGTAGAAGCTCAAGTTGAAAGACATTCAAAAAGCCGTATAGAGATTATGGTAAAAGCAAGAAGCCAGTTCAAGGAGCGTAGGTATTAATATGTCTGTGTTTACTTTATTTGCAAAAGAAAAGTGTTAATAAATTTTTTATCTTCTTGGTTCCTTTCTATTAACCAAAAATTTAATCTTACAGCACTGCAACAAATGTTGAAATTGAGTTGCCTGTGCCAGCGGATGCTACCAACCCAAATGTTAGGACCTCAATGGGGTCTGCTTCTTATGCACCCGAAAATGATGCATTGTGCTGGAAAATTAGATCTTTTCCAGGTGGCAAGGTATTTAAAAGTTTATTTGCATCTCTGTCAATGACATCTTATGCAGGAAGCTAATATTTTCGAAAAAACAGGAGTATATGTTAAGGGCAGAATTCCGCCTTCCTTCCGTTACATCTGAAGAAGCGACTCCAGAAAGAAAAGCACCCATTCGTGTAAAGTTTGAGATACCATATTTCACCGTTTCTGGAATCCAGGTATCCATTTACTTTCTCTCATTCTCGTTATTCATGTTTGCCATTCAAGAACATGTTTAAGACTTGTTTCTCCCCTCTTACTTTTTCATGCATGAAATTCCCTGAAGTTGGCATGTTTTTCTTGAAGGACATCGACATAGTCTTGCATATATTCTGTGAGCATTGTAAGATTGGGTAGATTTGCATTAGTTTCGAGTTCAAATATATGAGCTACATTTTAAAGTTTTTTTCGTTGCATCATGTTTGGTGGAGACTGGACGATATAGATAACCGGGTTAAACATATTCTTCTTGGTGTCGAATTCGTATACATTTTAGGAGATATGATGTTCATCGTGTTAATGTGCAATACCGTGATTTTGTAGGTTCGTTACCTGAAGATTATTGAGAAAAGTGGGTACCAGGCTCTTCCATGGGTGAGATACATCACAATGGCTGGAGAGTATGAACTAAGGCTCATATGAAATCTACGTACTTCGATTTATACACATTTGGTTCTGCAGAGTTCATATGTGGTGGTGAATTATTGAGTTAATAATCACAGGATGAGTTGAAGATTTGTTGTTGTAGAGGATTTGGTGGGGTGGGGAGGGAATTCTGTTTTCCACTCTTGTTTGTGAAGCATATTGCAGCTTTTGTAAGTCCATAGTAACCTTTTCTTTTTCTTTCTTGCTACACACTAGGTGGTCAGGTTGAACTCTGTTTTGCTCATATTGCTTTCAACTAGCTCCATTTCCATCTTGTTCATTCCTGTTATAACCATAGTTATTTCTAAATGCACACTGTTCAACTGTTAAATTTTCTTTATCGTCTGTTATTAACCTATCTAAACCAAGATAGATCAATGTCTAGTTTTTAATTCAACAAGAGGTAAGAATGAAGATTTGAACTTCTAACCTTTTAGTGGATGTTTTATTGCCTTAATGGTTGTTTGATTTTTTTTCACCTTTCAATGACTCCTTTAATTATGTGCAAGGAATTTCCCTCTTCGAGATAGGATCGTAGGTAGCATGATCGACCGACCAATAGGTCTTTTTGGCATTTGAAGAGGTAGAATGGGTTTTTCCTATAAATAGTCATAGTATCACACTCGTCCCTATATAGATAGGAGTATAATAGATGATTTATAACTTCCCAACGGTATAAAAGAAGTCTAAAAGAGGAGTATAATAGATGATTTATAACTTCCCAACGGTATAAAAGAAGTCTAAAAGAAGTCGAGATCTTGAGGTTAAAAAAGAGAAAGAAGTTGAGACCAAAGGAGTTACAAAATTACGAAGTCGAACTCAAAGTTTAAACTAATAGATTGAAACGGATATTTCTTCATGATTAATCCAAATCATTATAATTAAATTTTTAGAATTAAACCAAAATACAACTATTAGTACTTGAGGACAATTAAATTTTTTAAGATATGAGTTATATATATATATATATAAAGACGCAGATAGACGAGTATAGCTCAATGGGCTTTAGATTTAGGCCCAATTAATCGGCCCAAATTAGGAGCACCCCCCTCGCTTTTTGGAACGTTAGGGTTTTTGATTGAATTCAGGATCTGTAGTAAAACCATTTCGTCGCTGGCGGAGGGAAGTGCCGGAAAATGGCGTTACTTCTACGGCAGCTCAGTCGCACCAAGAATGTGGCAAAGAGGTCGACGAAGAAGTATCTGGAGGAACCACTGTATGTGAGGCTTTTTAAAGATGGTGGCTCAGAGAAGAGCGTTCGGCTACAGTTGAATGTTTTCCTCAAGAGTCGCAAGCGAGTTTTCAAATGGGAGGTTGGAGATACGCTCAAGAAGCTTCGCGATAGGAAGCTGTATTATCCTGCTCTCAAGGTTCGCTAAACTAAATTCTTTTAATTCTGCAGTATGGATGCGAAATATGTGGATCAATGTTGTTGTTATGACTCTGTTCTAGTCGTCTTAGCTTGGCATGATTTCAGTTTTAGGCACTGTTTCAACTCCTCTTGTTCGATCAGTTAAACCACCGAAATCTAAACAGCTCGAAAATAGCTTCATAATCAATTTTGATTTCTTATCTTTTCCTCCTAGCTTGTTTTCGGTGAATTTACTTAACTGCCGTGATCTCGAATCTTGATAGATACCTCATGCCCTTTGATCCAACTCCATTTCCATCATTCTTCTTGGTGAAAGCTTTAGTTTACATTTTGTAAGGATTTAGTCCTGTGATTTTAAAAATCTAACAATTAAGTTCTTAGTATAAAGAAAAACATTACAAAAACATTAACATTTTTTCTGGAGAAGTTTTTTATGGTTGAATGGAGCCAAATCAGCAGATTCACCTTCAGTGGTCAAAAACATTTTGTATGTTGATCATATCATTATTTGCTCTAGGAACTTCTTCGTTACATTTCTTTACTTGTGCGCAGTGCAAAAATGACTGAATTGAGGCTTCTAATAGCATCTCTACATTTCTGATATAAACGATTATTTTCTTCCATTTCCTTTTCTATTATTATGGCAAATGATCTTATCTTTCTTGCTTATATTGCTTATGTAAAACAATTATTCTGAAAAGAAACTGTGATATAGCTTTCAGAAACTATGGCCAAAAGGAGCATGAACAAAACAGTAAGTGATCAAGCAAGACATCTTGATTTATTAGGCAAGGCTCGAGGAATTGCTGCCGCCGAGAGCTTCTTTGTTAGTCTTCCCGAATCATCAAAGAATCATCTTTGCTATGGTTCTCTTCTCAACTGTTACTGCAAGGAATTAATGACTGAAAAAGCTGAAGCTATCTTGGAGAAAATGAAGGAACTCAACCTAACTGTGACCTCCATGCCATACAATAGCCTTATGACACTATACACAAAAACTGGGCAGCCAGAAAAAGTTCGTGCAATCATACAGGAAATGAAGGCGGCCAACGTATTGTTTGATACCTATACATATAATGTGTGGATGAGGGCACTTGCTGCTTCAAATGACATCTCTGGTGTGGAAAGGGTTATTGATGAGATGAAGAGGGACGGCAGAGCTGTGGGAGATTGGACAACATATAGCAACTTAGCCTCAATTTATGTTGATGCTCACATGTTCGACAAGGCAGGCAACGCGCTGAAGGAATTGGAGAAGAGAAACGCTTGTCGAGATCTTTCTGCGTTCCAGTTCCTGATTACGTTGCATGGACAAATGGGTAACCTGCTCGAAGTCTATAGAGTTTGGCGCTCATTAAGGTTAGCCTTTCCAAACACTGCAAATATAAGCTATCTCAACATGATCCAAACTCTGATAAAGTTGAAAGACTTACCTGGCGCAGAGAAATGTTTCAAGGAATGGGAATCAGGATGCTCAACTTATGATATTAGGATTGCAAATGCTCTTATAGGAGCTTATGCCAAGGAGGGTTTGCTAGAGAAGGCTATCGAACTCAAGGTTCGAGCCCGACAAAGAGGGGCTAAACCTAACGCGAAAACTTGGGAAATTTTTATGGATTATTATCTCAAAAATGGAGAATTTAAACTGGCAGCTGATTGTGTTGCCAAAGCAGTATCCAAAGGTAGACTAGATGAGGGGAAATGGGTGCCATCGCCTGAGGTTATTAGAACATTCATGAGCCATTACGAGCAAGAAAAAGATGTTGATGGTGCAGAGAGCTTTGTTGAAACAGTAAAGAAAAGTGTAGACAGTTTAGAATCAGAGGTCTTTGAATCATTGATAAGAACGTATTCTGCAGCAGGAAGGAGAAGTTGTATGATGAGTCGTAGGTTGAAGATGGAGAATGTGGAGGTCAGTGAGGCCTGCAAGAAGCTGCTCGACGAAATATCGATTGAATGAGCGTTTGTTGAACAACAAAGTTTTATGATTTAGAGAATTCCAAGGTTTGAGGAATTGAATTTTTCAGTGGTTATTTGATATTAAGGACTTCCTCTTCTATTTCAATTTGAATTTTTACCATTTAGAGAATTCCAAGCTCTGTTTCTGTAAGATTTACAATAAATTATTATGAACAGAGAGGGAGAGATGGAAGGCTGTGTTCCCAGTTCCAATACAAACACTCAAAAAAACTGTCTTTTCTGCCTCAAAATTTTTGGGTATGAAAATCTCTTCTTTCTTTTTCTTTATATATATATATATATACACACACATATATATATTTGTTCTTCATGTCAGCTGTTTCAGAAAAAAAGAAAAAAACATCATTTTTGCCATTTTATAAATATATTCTAAACTGACACAAACGGAAAAAAATCCGACAAAATTAAAACTTAGAAACACTAAGGTGTGAAAGCCTCTCACTAATAGACTTGCACTCGCAAGGGAAAAATTCAAAGAGAACAAGCTCCGAGGGGACATTGGTTGGGAGAAGAACAAAACACGAGTGTTAAACTTCTTCCCTGAGAGGGAAAAGCTGAAAGAGAATAATATGTAGCTGAGTTTAATTTGGTTAAAGACTGACTTATGACCTTTGTTGGAAGAGTCACTTCTTACTTTTCTTCCAAATCTCTGAACCGTACTCGCCCTCAACATATCAGTTTCCGTCGATCTTCTGATCGGAACTGTTCTTCCCGTCCCCTCCGAAGAGAATTCTTCAGACATGCTCCATAATTGGAACATTTCTGTCTCTACCTCACTGGAATGGCTTCGGTCATATGGTCTCTCCAGCGAATCCTGAAACAAAATTTTCATCATTAAAATGAAAACCCATTTCGGGAACTTAGGCTCAGATTCCTTGAATTTACCAATGGGTTTTTTCCTTTGAGCAATGGATGATCAAAAGAAAGTTGTCGATGAGTTTCAACACAATTTATAAGGTCATCATCCGGACTTTGCACCCAAATAAAAATATCATAATCAAGCTCCAAAACAGAGGAGATTAAACAACAAAGTAATAAACGTGAATGGTCTTGAGAGGGAACTTGTTAATTATGTTGAGATGAGCTCGAATTAGCTTCAACTTCTTCAATTGATTCTCCGACCGAACGCCTCTGTATGGTTACTGGGACGGATTTTTTTTTGTCGAGACAACAAAACGAGGAAACAACAAGAAGGGAAAAAACGAGAATAGGAAGAAAAGGACGGTGGAAAGTTTTAGAATCCATATTTAATCCAAGAAAAACATGGGTCATTGTCTTTTGTGTTTGTCTTCTTCTTTTTCTTCATATAATATATATGATAGTGCTTGCGTTCAGCAAATCCCATTTTGTTGACGCGTGTGAGGGCACGAAACACGATGAGCAATCCCAAGGGAACAAAAGAGATGGTTGTAAATTTTCTGATATTCCCCACCTCAATCAAACTAGACACACTTGATTTTAGTATTCAGGAGGCGCTCAACATCAACTTGGAACTGCAAAAGTATACGAGGAGCTTCTGTACATTCATGCATCAAATATATCCACGAAAATTTGCTGAAATTATCAATGAAGCTGATATAATATTTAAAGCCCCCAACAGATGGAGGTGCCAAATTTCAAACATCCGAAAAAATTAGTTCCAAACGTGACGAAGACCGATGAAAAGAACTAGTGTATGGTAACTGATGACTTTTTGCTGACATGTCTTATAAACTTGCAAAGGTGACTCACTAGCATACGAAATATTATTGAGACGCAAAATTGACTTCACTACTTGAGATGAAGAATGTCCAAGATGTGCATGCCATTGAGCATGAGAAGTAGATCTACTCACTAAGGCGTGCTTGAGATCATCAACATCAGATGACTTGATAGGATAGAGACCAGACTCACAGCTCCCGTCTAAAAATTTTTAATCCACCGTCGATCCTTAATAGAAAAATGCAAAGGATGGTATGTTCGATAAAAGGTTGTGGCTTTTTTTATGTTATTCATGTTTTACTTAAACTTAGTGAGTTGAATCCTGTTTTTAGGCTATCTGAATTAAGGATGCACGTACTATGGAAGAGCGTATTTTTAGCTTTCAGTCATCTTTCGGGCAAGATTTATTGGCCACTCCCGTCAATTTTCCAATGTAATTTGTTTTAAATAGTCAAAATCCAAAGCTTTCATTCTCTCTCTTATTTTCTCCAGCTTTGTGTTTGTTTCTTCCAACAAAATTTCTTCGGCTATTTCTCCTCCGTCAAACGATTTCCTCTCACGCTGATTTGTTCAGTTGAAAGGCATCATGGTATTCAAAGAAAAGTCATTATCACGGGAAAATTTATGAACAGAAATTAGATGTTTGGAAATTTCAAAGAACATGCAAAATATTACGCAATGCAAGAGCACGATCAACCGTATTAATTGAAAAATGACCCGTATGCAAAATCTGCAAACCTACTCTATTTTGAACTTGAACCTTTTCGGCTCCATGATAGCATTCACACACAACGAGACGATCCAGGTCACTGGTGATATGATCAGTGGCATTTGTGTCGTTGTACCAATTTGGATCAATCTTGTAGGAGGAAGTAGCCACCAGTGTCGCAAAAGGAGGTTTTTCTTGATAGGACTCATCCATCATATACCAGCAACGAACGACAATATGCCCACTTTACCGCAGATCTGGCAGGAAGAACGAGCATAAGGGTCACGATGATCACCAGTAGGATGAGAGGGCACGCCGCTTCGTTAGCGGCCAGAAAATCAGGAGATGCAGCTCCAATAATAGAAGATTCTTACTATGTATAGATACAACGTCTTCTACATTTAACCCCCGAATCATTAAAGAATTATCGTTTTCTTCTAACTGTTACCGCAATGAACTAATGACTGAAAAAGTGAAGCTATCTTGGAGAAAATGAAAGGAACCCAACCTACCTGTGACCTCCATGCCATACAATAGCCTTATGACACTATACACAAAAATTGGGCAGCAAGAAAAAGAACGTGCAATCATGTTTGATACCTATACATATAATGTCTATCGTTCTAACTATCAAGGTCGTTTCATTCCCTTTTTTATTCTCTATTTAAATCTAAATTTATCTCAACGTAATTTGGTTATTAGGTATTTTCACATTCTAATTTCAACTCGTTCTATAAGGTCTTTTCATTCCCTTTTTTCTTCTAAATGAGATTTTATCTCGACACTGTCTAACTCTCTCTCCAATCAAAGTTTTTTTCACACTTTCATTCTGCCCGGCTCTGCTTAGGAGAAGTCTCGAACTTGTGGATCTTTAATAAATATCACAATTATATTCCAACTATATATTTCTTTCATAAAAAATTTACAAGGGTCACATTTGTTCTCCAGTCTTAGTGATCTAAATTTGAAAGGACCAAAAAAATAAAAATAAAAATAAAAACCTCAAATTGAAGCTTGAATATTATAGGACTCTCCACCAAACTGTATCGTCGTTGCGTGGCTTTGAAGGTGAGTGAACAAAATCGCCGGCCAGTACCCGACCAGCACACCCGACCCAAATTCCAACCACCAATTCTCATGCTTCGGATCCTTTGAACAACCACAAACAACAACCCCCAATTCAATTTGGACTCACAATCTTCAAGAAAAGGCATGAAATTGAAATGGGTTACCTTCCAAACCAGTAAACTGATATCCAGTTGGGCGCCATTGTATGAGGAAGTTGGAGCAATTGTAGCTCCAATGGCGATTCTACGGTTGGTCGAAGTCTCGACAGAGTAAATTGTAGCAGCCTATTGCTTGATATGCGTAAGACTGTTTATCCAAAAAGTATATTTCATTTTCAATTTGTATTTGTTGCTAATTTTTGTGTTTTAATGTTCTTACTATCCAATAAGTGAAGAATCTTGGATTGTTGTCTCTATACAGCTACGGGTTAACCTGTAGAGAAAAGTTAGGCGTATAATTGAAATTTGTATGGATTAGAAGATTGAATGTGTTTAGAAAGTTGCCTGCCACCCAGCTTCAATGATGTTGAGATCATGTGGGAATGAACTGGAGACGAGCCACATCTGTGAGAGATTGAACTCGTACCGATAGCTGACCCGCGGCTTTCATACGTTCATGCTTGCCTTCACTCTGTAGTACAGTCCTCCACTTACAAACCCCACTGCATACTGACACCAACAAAATTTACATTCATTTCCATTTGGGTTTCTCCAAAATCTTAAAATTTAGAAGAGATGACTCAGATTTGGAGAAAAAGACATGAGATCCTACATCTACTAGGAAGGAGAACATCGGTTAGGGAGAAGAACGAAACACCTTTTACAAGAGTGTGGAAACCTCTTACTAGCTGAGAGTTTTTAAAAATCTTGAGGGAAGCATGAGAGGGAAAAACCCAAAGAGAATAATATCGGCTACGAGTGAACTTGGGCCGTTTGGTATCAGAGCCAGACACCGGGTGATGTGCCAGCGAGGAGATTGAGCGCCAAAGTGGGTGGACAAAGGCGGTGTGTCAACAAGGATGCTGACCCGAAGGGAGTAGATTGGGAGGTCCCACTTTGATTGGTTGGGAGATCCTACATTCTTTGGGAGGAAAACTAAACACCCTTTAAAGGTGTGGAAGCTTCTCACTAATAGAGTTGGCATGCGAACGGGAAAAGTCCAAAGAAAACAGGTCCTGAGAAGGTGGATTGTGAATTCCTCGCATTGGTTGAAAGAAGAACGAAACACCCTTTCTATAAGAGTGTTTAATTTCTTCCCCGAAAGGGAAAAACCGAAAAAGAACAATATCGACTAGTAGCTGAGTTTAATTTGGTTAAAGACTAACCTCATGGCCTTTGGTGGGAGAGTCTCTTCTTACTTTTCTTCCAAATCTCTTAACTGAACTCGCTCTCAACATATCCTTTTATGTCGTTCTTCTGATCAGAACTGTCCCTTCTGGGCAGAATTCTTCGGTCATACGGTCTCTCCGGCGGATCCTGAAACAAAATTTCCATCATAAAAACAAAACCCATTTCGAAAATTTAGCCTTAGGTTACTTGAACTTACCAATGGCTTCTTTCTTTGGAGCAATGGATTTCAAAAGTGAGGTGCTTATGAGTTTCAACACAATCTATAAAGTCATCATCGGACTCTGCACCCAAATAAAAGCATAAAATTTGTGAGGATGGCTAAATGCTTAAAGCAAACCAATTCCTCTGTGATTTCTACCTCTTCACCCTATTGACCTCCAAATCACCTTTCGTCATACTCTGT